ACTTATTTTTATTTAAATTCAAGTTAGTTAACATATAGTGTAGCATTGGTTTTAGGAGAATTTAGTGATTCATCACTTACATGTAACACCCAGTGCTCATGCCAACAAGTGTCCTCCTTAATGTCCATGACCCATTTAGCCAGTCCTGCCACCTACCTCCCCTCTAGCAACCCTCAGTTCTCTATATTTAAGAGTCTCTTATGGTTTGCCTGCCTCTCTGTTTTTATTTTTCCTTCCCTTCCCCTATGTTTATCTGTTTTGTTTCTTAAATTCCACATATGAGTGAAACCATATACTTGTCTTTCTCTGAACGACATTTTTCATCTAGCATAATACTCTAGTTCCATCCATGTCATAGCAAATGTCAAGATTTCATTCTTTTTGATGGGGAGTAATACTCTATCATACACACACATCCCCCCCCCCCCCATGTCTTCTTTATCCGTTCATTAGTCGATGGACATTTGGGCTCTTTTTATAATTTGGCTATTTTTGATAGTACAGCTGTAAACAATGGGGTGCATGTGCCCCTTTGAATCAACATTTTTGTATCCTTTGGATAAATACCTAGAAGTGCAATTGCTGGGTCATAGGATAGTTCTATTTTTAACTTTTTGAGGAAACGCCATACTGTTTTCCAAAGTGACTGCACCAGTTTGCATTCCTACGAACAGTGTAAAAGGGTTCCCCTTTCTCCACATCCTCACCAATGTCTGTTGTTTCCTGAGTTATTAATTTTAGTCATTATGACAGGTGTGAGGTGGTGTCTGATTGTGGTTTTGATTTATTTTTCCGTGATGATGAGTGATGTTGAGTATCTTTTCACGTGTCTGTTAGCCATCTGGATGTCTTCTTTCAGAAAGTGTCTATTCATGTCTTCTGCCCATTTCTTAACTGGATTATTTGTTGGGTGTTGAGTTTGTAAGTTCTTTACAGATTTTGGACACTAGCCCTTTATCTGTTATGTCATTTGCAAATATCTTCTCTCATTCCATTGGTTGCCTTTTAGTTTTGTTGATTGTTTCCTTCACTGTGCAGAAGGTTTTTATCTTGATGAGGTCCCAATAGTTCATTTTTGCTTTTGTTTCCCATGCCTCTAGAGACATGCCTAGTAAGAAGTAGGTGTTGCCAAAGTCAGAGAATTTCTCCTGCTTTCTGCTCTAGAATTCTGATGGTTTCCTGTTTTACGTTTAGGTGTTTCATCCATTTCGAATTTATTTTTGTGTACGGTGTAAGAAAATGGTCTAGTTTCATTTTTCTGCATGTTGCTGTCCAGTTTGCCCAACACCTTGAAGAGACTGTCTTTTTTCCATTGGATATATTTTTTTGAAGATTTTTTTAAGATTTATTTATTTATTTGAGAGGGAGAGCACACATGTATGCTCATAGAGGGGTAGAGGGAGAAGGAGAGAAGCAGACTCCCCACTGAGCATGGAGCCTGAAGTGGGGCTTGATTCACGACCTAGGAGATCATGACGTGGGCCAAAACCAAGAGTCAGTGCTCAACTGACTGAGCCACCCAGGCGTCCCTCCACTGGATATTCTTTCCTGCTTTGTTGAAGATTAGTTGGCCATACGGTTGTGGGTCCTCCTTTTTTTTTTTTTTTTTCATCCTTATTTCTCTTATATTCTTTTAACTTATCTTTTAATTACTTATTTTTGTTTTTAAAGATTTTATTTAATCATTAGAGAGAGAGTGCACATAAGCAGGGGGGAAGGCAGAGGAAGAGGGAGAAGCAGGCTCCCCGTGGAGCAGGGAGCCTGATGCGGGGCTCTATCCCAGGACCTGGAGACCATGACCTGAGCTGAAGGCAGACGCTTAACCATCTGAGCCACCCAGGCACCCCTTCTAATTACTACTTTAAGCTATGTCTTATCTAGGCTGTTATGCTTGCTCATTGAGTTTTTACTTTTGGTTGTAGAATTTTTCAGTTTTAGAGATTTCCCTTGGTTTCTTTTTATGGTTTCTTATTCTCACAAAATTCTCAGCCTTGTTTTCTATTGTCTTATACACAATAATGTAAGAAAATTTCTTTTAGAATCGTTGTTTAATAATTCTAATAGTGAGGCCCTTTTGTCTATTGTCTTTTTGCTTCTTGTGACTTTAATTCATGTCACCTTATCTTCCCAGGTACTTGAGCTTTAAAATTAAAAAAAATTCTTTATTGTGTCACATTTATTTGTGAAATTGTTTTTTAGAGCAAGTTGCAGCCTATTCTAATATCATTCATCTAAATTACCTTTGTTAGGAATAATAAGGGCAAACCTTTAAAGTCTGTATCCAAAATGAAGGGGGTGTTCACCAGGGCTTCTCCACTCTTTGCTGGTGTAATCTGTGTATCTTTGAATTTGAAGACTGTCAGCAGGCATTCAGTCTCCCAGCCACCTCTCTGGAACTGGCAGATGCCTCTATGGGAAGAGTGGCCCCAACTGCCAGTCTCATCTTCCTGCATCCACATTCTCTTCTGTTCCCATTTCAGTAAATATTTATTCTTTTGTTAGTTTCCATTGTCTTCAGATTATTAAAATACATGTCCAGCTTTTCTTGTCCTAAGCAGGAGGCTTGATCTAAATTACCTTTTCCTCTAGTACTGGAAGTGAAGACTATCTTCAGATTTCTTGGTGTAAGAGATTGGTAATACATTTCCCACGGTGTTTGAGGTAGTTGGGGTTTTTGTTTTTAGCTAAAAGCATTTTTATATAATTAGCATAAAAGGTACAAGTTCTTTGTAAACTTGGAATATAGAATTGTGGAACCACTTTTGAAGGTCAGAGAAAGAATTAATGTTTTATGAGGACTTTCCGTCTATATTACTAGATATCTATTTGGAGGATACCATATTTTCCAAGATTATCATTGATAAGTTGATTATTACTGGACTGGAGAGCTGAATATATGTTCAAAACACTAAAAACAGATATAAAATTTATTCTGACCTTGGTAAGACTTGTGCAAATGGACAGTTTTCTGTGATTCTGAAATATTCCTAGAGGAGAAAAGTCTGAAAATGACTATTGGCAGATGCAGCCCAGGAGTTCATAACTTTGAGTCAAGAAGATCCCAGAGGGCAGTACACATGTTTGCAATGGAACTAGAGTTGGAGATGAGGCTGTGAAAATTAATAATGGGAAACCTCATTAAAATGGAGATGGGAGATTCAGCAAGGGGAGCTCTCACTCCCTACCACTCATAGTCAGTTGTAGACCCAACAGGAAGATATGTACTTGATTTTGCACCTGGTTGCTCCTTTACAATCCCAACTGGAGGAAGAAACTTTTTTTTTTTTAAGGTTAATAAGGTAATGGTGGTGGTGACTGAGAAATGGATATCCTGCAATTAGTCCTGAAAAGCACTTGTAGTAGATTTTAGTGCCAAAAGGGAAGGATTTAAATAATTTTAACCCTGTTTTCCTAAAATGTTCAGGTCTTTGTGAATTTTATGTGCGATGGGACTGAACTTCCATTTTAAAGTAGGAGTTAGAATATTTACTGTCAACTGGAATAAGAAAAAAAAATTACTCATTTTATCTTAGAAATCTTTGTTTCATTGGTAGTGGGATTGAAGAATAGGTCTTGGTTTTTCTTATGTAGTTTAAGCTTTTAGCTAATTAAAATTAAAACCTGGGACACCTGGATGGCTCAGTTAGTTAAGTGTCTGCCTTCCGCTCAGGTCATGATCTGGGGTCCTGGGATCGAGTCCTGCATTGGGCTCCCTGCTTCATGGGGAGCCTGTTTCTCCCTCTGCCTCTGCCCCCCACCCCGGTCTCTCGTGAATGAATAAATAAAATCTTAAAAAAAAAAGACCTTATAATACTTTTTGGTGCTATTATTACAAAGTATGAGGTAAGTTTATTATATGTTTCTATCTTTTAAAAATTATTTGGATCAAAAAGCAGGTCAAAATTACATGCCAGTTTTATGATCCAGTTAATTAATTCCCTGACAAATAACTTACTTTCGATAGGATAATGTTGTGGCAGCTGTTACAGTGCATTGTTGCACGTTTAACATGAGTAAGAACTTTTCTTGGAGGACTTTGTCCCTTCTATTAAAATGTGATTTGACAGGAAACCAAAGTAACTTCAATTTTAGTTTAAAAGTCTTAGGTAATATGCAGACATCACATTAATTTATCAGAAATGGTATATTAAAAGAAAGACTAAGTAATTTGATGGTTGGTTTTATGTGCTAAAGATCTTGTAGTAGGAAAAGGTATTTCATGATGACTCATGACTGAGGGAGATGCTATTAGAAAAAAATACATATAATCTTCACAAAGATTCATGAAGCTAAAGGGGAGAGAATTATTTTGATGAAAACTTTTGTTTTTAATTATTTACAATAAGAACACTGTCATCATTTTTTTTTTACTTCTAAATACAACAAACAGTTACTTTCATAATCCTGGATCAGTGCTTTTGGGGATAGCTGAAGTGATTTACTTTCCTGTTCTTAGTGCATAACACATAGGTGATTAACATTTTTGTGTTGACTGATTTCTCATGAGTCTGCAGCATGAGTACAGTTCACCTTGTGTCAGATAAAAGACCCTTTGTAGCATTAATCACATAGTTACTTGCTGAAGGTCATCTTTGTGAAGATTATAATTTTCTCTAACCATTTGTCAAGTTCTAAGTGGCTTTTCTCTGATTTCAGAGTATGGATTTTGTAGTAGGATCATTCTATGAAGTTTACCGTAGTAGCTTCAGGGAATATCCATGGTTTGTGAATCCGGGAGTACCTAAACTAGAAGAGTCAGTAATTCTAGTTAGGTTAATAATTGAAGATGTGACATTGATGGTCACAGAAACTTAGTGTGGAGTAAAGAAAATGTGTTAAGGTACGATTCAACTTTGTTCTTTTTGTTTTATGAACAATTAAAAAATCGGAAAATTTGGGTTTTGTTATAGAAATGATAGTTGAATAACAAGAAGGGATAAAAAGAATGTCACAGTGAATGAGTTTAATTCATCACTAACTAAGTGCATTTCTCTGTGCAGGTATAATTTGGCATCCTGAGAATCTGTCTTAGGAAGAAGGAAGTGGAAAATACCCTTGAAAAAAAGAAAGCTAAGACAAAAAGGAAGCCAGACTTACTTTTACATGGTCAACTGCTCACTTACCAATATGGATACTTTTCCCACTATTTTTCCTCCTGGTGGAGACAGCGGGGTGACAGATTCTCAATCTGAGTTCCAAAAAATGTTAATTGATGAAAGGTTACGATGTGCACGTCATAAAACTAACTATCAGACTCTTAAAGCTGAACACACAAGGTAAATTGCTTAAATTTGGAGGTAAGGGGCTTTATTAAGAAAATTATTTTTGTCCGAACGTTTGCTCTGGAACATACAGTATAATTTTGTTAGTTTGCAGTATATACATTTAAAACTTCTTGGGGTGCCTGGGTGGCTCGGTTGTTAAGCGTCTGCCTTCGGCTCAGGTCATGATCCCAGGGTCCTGGGATTGGGCTCTGCATCTGACTGCCTGCTCCGCGGGAAGCCTGCTTCTCCCTCTCCCACTCCCCTTGCTTGTGTTTCCTCTCTTGCTGTGTCTCTCTCTGTCAAACAAATAAATAAAATCTTTAAAAAAAACCCAAAACATTTAATACAGTGAAATTTTTGCTTTAAGATTACTTTATTCAAAACTAAACTAAACATGGTCCCAAGTGTGCTATGAATTTATAAGTCTTGCTTTGAAAGTAGCAAGACATATAAAATGTCTAGGTGGCTAAGTGTGTTTTTCCTTTCCCCCAAGTAAAATTGTATTAATAAACTATAGTGTTAATAATTAAACTCTATAAAGAAAAGAGGTTTATGGACTTAATGGAATATATGAAATTGGTCTTGTTCTGTAGTGTTGGTTGACTTCACATAAAGTAATGCAATTAGGATAAAGCAAAGGATATCCTTAAAGTTGAATTTTTTCTTTTTTTAAAAATCAGATTGCAAGATGAGTACATAAAGTCACGACATGAGCTAAAGCGCCTGTTAAATGAAAAGAAGACTGACCAGGAAAAATTTCAGCTGCTGCTTGAAGAACTAAGAGGGGAATTAGTAGAGAAAACTAAAGACTTAGAAGAAATGAAACTGCAGGTAAGAAAATACATTTCAGTTAGTACTATTGGGGAAAAAATTTCCTCTGCCCTTCTGGGTCCTTCTAAACTGGATAAGAATCAAATTGGCATGAGATTAGATTAATAAGAGAAAATCAAATTTAGTTTCAAAAGTATGCAGAATCCACACAAACATCACAAACATGAAATTCCAAAGATAGGCAACAGTAGGCTTATATGACATCCTGAGCTGGGGATACAAAGGGAAAGCAGATCATTAGCAGGATGGTGAGAGAATTTTGGAAAACAAAGTTGCCCTGTTAAGCAGATAAATTTCTTAGGTAAAAAGGAACCTCTGTTAATAGCTCTCTTCTTGGTATAGCCTCTCTTTCCAATTAAACTTAGGCAGTTGAGAGGGAGGTAAAGAGCTTTTCCTAAATCTGCTGGGTTTTGATAGCTTTTAAATCAAAACAATCTTCATACCAAAACAGCCCATCCTGGGGAGGCCTGCCTTTTGCACCTGTGATACAAAAGTAGTCCGATGTTGCTAAATTTGGTGAATTCTGCCTACATTCTTAATGAGTATTTTGCTGTTGTCCACATGGTATAATTTAATATTCTTTCATATATTCTGGAATGTTAGTTACCATGTGGGATTTAGCCATGAAACTGTTGTTTCATGTAAATTTGTATTATATTACCTGTCCTGATTTAAATATTTCACTCTTCAGAATAATTGCGGGAAAGGCTGGTTTGAATTGATAAATATTGAGAGTTAAAAATATTTTTTTAAAGAAAGTTTTACTGATTTTCTTTTAAGTATTATAACTGCAGCTGAGCTAAAAAAGACATTAAAAATTTTTTTCATTACTGAGGTATAGTTGATAAGACTGATAGTTATTTTTAAGGGACTTCTTAAAAGACTATAAAAACAATATGTGCACTTATTTTATGTGTGCAGGGTAAATGGAGTTTCTAAAGCAGAGGATAGTACTATCATTTCATTTCTCATTTGCCTAGAAAGGAGACCAAAACTAAACTTACTATAAATTTCAAATTAGTAGATATTAGCAATTATATTTTCCTGTGTTCATTTAATCTCTAAATGGTACCAGCTGTGTATTTCTGTTTAGTGCTTGGTACAAATGATAAGTATTTTTAATACTGGAGTCAGAAGTTGATAAGAGTAAAAAGCTACCTTTTCAGTCATCTAATATGGCATATTGCCCAATTCATGGATTCCTTTGACAGCAGTGTTAGAAGTTGGTTATTCAGTATCTTTTTGAAATCTTCCATTGTTGGGAACACCATCACTAAGCTTGGGTTGGAGCCTCTATTGTGGTGTTTTATTCTTAGGTGTATTTAGGACATTTAAACAAAAACCTCACAAATAGGAGTTGAATAGGCAAATGTAATTTAAGCCTATAGAATTGGTGGATTAATTTGTTTTGCAAAAATTGAGCGGCCATAGAAATGAGAATCTGTGAGCACTGATTCCAAGGAATTCTTCCAAATATTCTTCTGGCACTGTAGATATAAACACTCTAGTCTTCTTTAGCATATTGTTTGCACATGCTTGGTACAAATAAGCATGTCTCCATGTCAGTTTGAAGAAACAGTAATTATATTAATAGCAGATAAAATTTACTTCAAGACAAAAAGTGTCACTTAAGGTAAAAAGGTCATTTTTATAACCAAAAAAACGGTCAGTTCACCAGTGAGATGATGACCTTCAACAAACATCTGTTTTTATGCCTTAGTTTTGTCATGTGGTAAAGAGGATAAAAGTTGTTAACAGTGGTTTTTGTGAGGACTGATGAAATAACATGTATATTTTTAGTATAGTGTCTGACACATAGTAGATACTCATGAATGATGGCATTTATTCTATTTGAATGCAGGCTCTGTAAGGGCAGGAACTCTTTCAGTGTGTCTTCAGTGCTCAAGTAGATTTCTCTTTGTATTTATATATTTTATAATATGTTAGCAAATTTTTGTTGAATGAATGACATGAAGAAGTAGAATAAATGGATGACTCGGAATTGAGGTTCTGTTCATATATAATACAATGTTCTTTCTTGTCTCATATGTACCTAAAGCTTCAGCATCTTAGAGTTAATGATGCTCTCATTGTTTCATATCTGTAATGAGTTAACTTGTGTCCACCAAAAAATATGTTAAACTTCTAATGCCCAGTACCTCAGAATGTGACCTTGTTTGAAAATAGTCTTTGCTGATGTAATTAGTTAAGATGAGGTCATACCGAAGGATGATGGGCCCTTAATCCAGTGTGACTGGTGTCCTTCTAAGAAGAGGAGAACAGACACAAGGACAGAAACACAGGGTGAAGGGCAGGGAGTGAGGTGGGGCGAATGTCCTGTCATGACAGAAGCAGAGATTGAAGGGCTGCAGCTGCCAAGCAAGGACAGGGATCAACGGCACACCACCAGAAGCTAGGGTGAAGCAAAGAAGGATCCTTCCCTTCAGGGAGTGTGGCCTTGCTGACAACTTGATTTCGGACTTCTAGCCTCCAGAGCTGTGAGACAATAAATTTCTGTTGTTTTAAGATAGCCAGTTTGTGGTATTTTGTTGTCGTAGCTCTAGGAAACTAATACACTATTCAAAGCCGAATTCCTTTTTGGAACATTTGTGACACAGGGATCTTTATTCTCTGCCTCCGTGCTTTCAGTGGGAGAGAACTTAGTGAATGTTTAAAGTGATCCAGTTTCATTTATGGATTGGAGTATGTTAAGTATTTTCCCTGTCATATTGAAATGAAATCATCCTCCCTGTAGCCTCTCTCTTGCTTCTTGTACTGTTCCTTGGATCTACACAAAATAACTTTAGACATTTCTCCATGTGATAACTTCCCAGATGTTTGCTGACAAATATATTTTGTCTGGTAAAGTTTCTGTTTTTCAAGATAAACGTAAGTGGTTTCTCTATGATATTTATCTGGCAAAAATAAACTAAAATAGAGATCTATATTATGTATGCATGTTGAAGCTAAATTTAGCTATTTGCTTTATGGATGTTAGCAATTTGTACGAGTTCAATAAAATTAAGTAAACTCAACAAAGTAGAAGCAATAAGAAATATGTTAGTAAATGTTTATGAAAGATGATTATTTTCAAGATATACATGTATTATCTTGTCTACCTACAAAATGCCTTTTCTGAGCTAAGATTTAATATCCCTTCGGCTTTTATAGAAAAATGATATAAAAGATAATCAATTAAAGAATATTTCTATGTCACTTGTGTAGTTGTAGTGAATGGAAATAATAATAGTGCCTAACTTATATGATGATTGTAAAGACGAAATGAGTTAGTGCATAGAAAGTGTTAGTACAGGGGCGCCTGAGTGGCTCAGTCGTTAAGCGTCTGCCTTCGGCTCGGGTCATGGTCGCAGGGTCCTGGGATCAAGCCCCGCACCGGGCTCCCTGCTCAGTGGGAAGCCTGCTTCTCCCTCTCCCACTCCCCCTGCTTGTGTTCCCTCTCTTGCTGTCTCTCTGTCAAATAAATATTAGAAGAAAAAAAAAGAAAGTGTTAGTACAATGCTTTGATACAGAAAGTGGATAGAACATGTTAGCTGTTGTTATAGTGTTATTATGTACCATGTTATGAGTTATTTGATAATATTTCTGTTACAAATTTTAAAAGTTACTTTACCAAAAATTTATATGCTTTCTTTGTGCCAGGCAATGGAAACTATATAACCCAGTATGTTTCCCATTTTATTTGGCTGCTAGGAAGCTCAGAGCTAAATTTATTATTCAGTTTGTCATTAGTTTTTTTAGGAATCTCTGGCACAGCAGTATCTGCCTTCTTAAATTAAAACATTCTTTGAAAAATAGTGGTCTATTTTATTAACATGACAAGTGTTGATGTAATATAGATTTAATATAGGTAATGACACATGGACTGTTGTATGATAAAGCATTCTTGTAAGTTTCTTTTGAGACAAGTGGTGGCTGTATTCCATTAGAAGTCTAAGACACAGCATACTTTTCTCCTAAAATGGCATGGAGAAAATCCTCTAATTCTGTGTCTTTGGTGTATGTGTGCTTTGGCAGGGTTGGGAGGGAAGATAGATTTTTCTTATGTGTGTGTGCTTGTTTTTTATAAGATTCTTAGGAGATAACAAAAAGATCTTGTTGAGATTTTTTTTTTTTTAAATCAGAGACCTTATAGATTACAAGATTCTTGTGTAGTTACCAACTTCAGTGTTCTTTTCTCCTTTGTGTGGATCATATTTCCATTGGTACCATTTTCCTACTGTCTTAAGGACTTTCTTTAATGTTTCTAAAGTAAGATCTATATGAGAAATTTTTTCAGCTCTTATATATCTAAAAATAATTGATTTTAAAGATAGTTTTGCTGAGTATTTATTTCTAGGTTGACTATTTTCCCCCCTAGTACTTTAAAGATGTTGCTCTTCTGTCTCCTCACTTATGTTGTTTCACATAAGAAATTTGCTGTCATCTTTATCTTTGTTCTGTGTATACAGTGAGTCTTTTCTTCATGGCTGCCCTTAAGATTTTCTCTTTATTGCTGATTTTGAGCAATTTGATTGATATGACTTTGTGCTTCATATTTACGGTGCTTAGGGTTTATTGAGCTTCTTGGGTCTGTGGGTTTACAGTTTTCATCACCTTGAGAAAATTTTTGTACGTGACTTCTGAAAATATTTTTTTCTGCCTCCTCTTTGATCTCCTTTGGGGATTCCATTATTAGGCCACTTAAACTTCTCCCATAACTCACTGATGCTCAGTTTATTTATTTTCAATCTTTTTTGTCTCCTTGTTGGATTTTGGGTAGATTCTGTTGTCCTGTCTTCAAGTTCACTGATCTTTTTTCTTCTGCAGGATCTCATCTTCCATTAATCCCATATAGTATATATTTTTCATCTCAGAAATTGTAGTTTTTACACTGAAGTCCAATTTAGGTCTTTTTAATAACTTCCTTATATCTACTTAACATGTTCAGTCTTTTCTCTAGCTTTTTGAACATACGGAATTCAGTTATAATAACTATTTTAATGTCTTTGCTAATTCTAACGCCTGTATCACTTCTGGGTTGGTTTTGGTTGATTGATTTTCTTGTTTATTGTGGGTAGTATTTTCCTGCTTCTTTGCATGCCTGATAAATTTTTATTGGATGCTAGACATTGTAAATTTTATGTTGAGTGCTAGATATTTTTGTATTCTGATATTCTTGAATTTTGTTCTGGGACAGTTACTTGGAAACAGTTTCATCTTTTTGGGTCTTGCTTTTAAAGATTTGTTAAGTGAGAGCAGATTAATATTTAGTGCTCACTACTTGCCACTGCTGAGAACCTTCTGAGTACTCATTTCTCAATGAAATGAAGGTTTTCAGTCTGGCTTTTGGAAAAAGGAACTATTCATAGCTCTGTGAGCTCAGATTACTCATCCATGTGATTCATTCTTTTCCTGGCCTTAATTAAATATTTTCCTTACATACATGTGCTGATCGGGGTACTCTTCTGAATGAGCCTTTTGCAGATCTTCATAATTTTGTTTCTGTGCCACCCTCTTTTCTGCTACCCTGCTTGTGATTCTAGCCACACTGCTCTCCCTGGATTTTTGTTCCATTTGCTTTTAAGTCAGAGAGTCCCATCAGATTCTGCCTGGATATCCCTTCCTGTGCATGGCCTGGAAGCATTCTCAAAGCTTACTTTCTTTGTTGTCTCTCAGGGATCTTTGTTGCTTAATTATGCCCACTTTCTTGAAAACGTTTGATTTTTGTTTATTCTTTTATTTGTTTTAGGCAGGAGAATAAATCTGATCTCTATTATGACATCTGTTGGAAGTGGAAGCCCTTTTATTTCTAATTGGTACTTGTTTGAGATTTCTGTAATTAAAGGTTAAAGTAGAAAGGGTGGTTGTGTTGCATCCTCACATACCCATCAATACTTGTTTTATCTTCTGACATCCCTGCTCTGTCTTTCAACCCTTCTGGATTATTTTGAAGCAAATCATCTCAACTCTAGTATTTTAGTATATATCTTTATATCAAGGTAATCTCTCCTTTAAAAGCATAGCCACAATACAATTATCATACCTAAAAGTACTTATTCCCTAATGTCTTTTAATGCTGCATCTTTGTTCACATTTCCCTAATTTCCCCACAGTTCTGCTTATTTTTTAAAAAAAGATTTTATTTATTTATTCGAGAGAGAGCGTGAGCGAGAGAGTGAGAGAGCGAGCATGAGCAGGGGAGAGGGGCAAAGGGAGAAGCAGACTCCCCGCTAAGCAGGGAGCCCAACGTGGGGCTCCATCCCAGGATCCCAGGATCATGCCCTGAGCCAAAGGCAGATGCGTAACCAACTGAGCCACCCAGGTGCCCCCAGTTTTGCTTATTTTTAAAGTTGTTTTGTTTGAAACAGGATCTAAAGGTTTATCTATTATTCTTTACCTTTTAATTACCACCCTTCTCACTTTGGACTCTTGATACTATCACCCAGACTCTTGACATCATAAACCAGATTATAATAAGAGCTTTCTATGTGATTTCCCAGCTCCACTCACTGCCTCCCCCACTCCTGCCCTAGTCACCAGTTTTCTCTCACCAAAGGTTTTGATCCATCTTGCTTCTTCCTAAAATATAGATATGGTGATGCCATTCTTAAGCTTGAATACCTTCAGTGAATAAGCAAAGTACAGAAAAATGTGTATAGTATGCCTTTCTTTATGTAAAAATTAAAAAGTGGTGTTTATGCTTATATATTTGTATGTTGTTTCAAGAAGGATATATAAGAGGTTAGCCATGATTGCTTCTTAAGAGGGAAACTGGATAACTGAAGGGAGAAGACTTAGTTTTTTAATACTTTTTTTGTTTGAATTATGTATGTAATTATATTTATTCATTTTAAGTAAAAAAAAAAATAAGTACTGTTGAATACTGAGTAAATTATAAGAGTCTGAATCTGATATTTAGGAATCTTCTACTTATAGCTCGCATCTCTTTCCCTTTTGTTCCCAGCCAGGATGTAGCTCTCCTAAGTGGCATTTGGAAATGTTTCAGCATGGCCTTGATTGTCACAGTATCTAGAGAGCATCAGTGCACAAGGATCCAGGATTCTAAATTGTCTGTAGTGCTTAGTGCAGTTCAATCCAAAATGCCTTTAGCATACCTTTGAGGAGCACTTTTTTCCCCCCAGGGAATTTAAAATGTTATCCATTCTTAAGTTTCCGGCTCTGTTTAAGCTTTAGTTTTCCCATACCTTTGATGTGCCACTATTTCTATACTTAATATTTTTTCTGTTGGTCTTTACCTGTCTGATAAGCCTATATTGGTTATTTTTATAGTTATTTGTATGTATGTTATTTTTCACATGAGAGTTTGAACTTCTTATGGGGCAAGAAATGCTTCCTGTGGGTTTTTGTGATCTTTACAAAGTTAGACTCTGTGTATGCTTCAGTTTCTGTAAAAAAAAGGGGGATGATAATATAGCTACATTGAGGATCATTACAGGGATTAAATCAGTTAATGCATGGAAGATATTTAGAACAGTATGTTATATAGATTATATAGTATGTTGCAGAATGTTTTGTATGTAGTAAGTATTCATTCAGTGAAGTTTTTGGACTGTTTGGAGTATTTATGAATAAATGAATGAATTAAACTGAATATTACTCTTCACTTTCAGAGGTTAATGTAAGTACATGCTAGGGTTTTTTTTGTTTTTTTTTTTTAATATTTTATTTATTTGACAGAAAGAGATACAGCGAGAGAGGGAACATAAGCAGGGGGAGTGGGAGAGGGAGAAGCAGGCTTCCCGCCAAGCAGGGAGCCCGATGCGGGTCTCGATCCCAGAACCCCGGGATCATGACCTGAGCCGAAGGCAGACACCCAATGACTGAGCTAGCCAGGCGCCCCTCCATACTAGGTCTTTGTTTGTTTGTAATTGAGTGATCCTATGTGCCCAGGCAGTGGTGTGAGGTGTTGGGAACACATCATGGTGAATAAAGACTGTGTTTGCCCTTCAGGAGCTTACATAAATACTTAATCATTTTTTGAAATATGAGTTCTATAAGAGAACATAACAGGGAGGAGCCTTGTTTTGGTGCTCAAAGTAAAAGTCAGCCTTTTCTGATCAAAAATAAGTCTGAAGAATTCTCTATGGTGTACCAGATTATTACACCTTTGTTTTGATTTCTTTAGGAGATAGACTGTTAGCCATTATATAAAACATGGTAACCTTAGCTGCCAACAGAGTTATTCCTAACAGACACAATAATAATAATAATCAATAATAATCAGTTACTATCTTTATCTCATGTTAATGGAATTTTTGACACATCTGAGAGCCTGAAATTGAGATCTTCAAGTATTGTTTCAAATGATAGTTCTATTTATATAGTGATTACTGTAGAATTAGGTATATTGTGAAATTTCTATGAATTGGATTTTATTATAATTAAGCATTGCAATTTGGTGTATTCTTGATTTTAGTATTTGTGATTTTATACTTAGAATGCTTTTTTCCTCTACATACTAGGTATTAACTCCACAAAAGTTGGAATTGTTACAAGCCCAAATACAACAAGAATTAGAAACTCCAATGAGAGAACGTTTTAGGAATCTGGATGAAGTAAGTAATTTATGTAGAAGGAACTGTGCATTTATCTTTATATGACTGATCAAAAGCCCCATTCTCTTATTCAGAAACCCTGCAGTAGCTCCCCTTCTAACTCAAGGGGCTTTTAGGGCTGCACAAGATCAGATCCCATTATCTCTCTGACTTCCTTCCCCCCATCCATATTGGCCTCTTTGATGTTTCTTTGGCACTCCAGAAATGAAACAGATCGAGAATCTTTGCTATAGCTCTTACTTCTGGCATGAACAGTATCCTTCCAGATATCTCTTAGCCAACTTCCTCATTTCTCTCTCTCTTTTTTTAAGATTTTTAAAATTATTTGAGAGAGAGTGCGCGCATATGAGAGAGCATGAGCAGGGGGTGGAGGGCAGAGGGAGAGGGCGAAGCAGGCTCCCCGCTGAGCAGGGAGCCCAACTTGGCGCTTGATCCCAGGATTCTGGGATCATGACCTGAGCTGAAGTCAGACGCTTAAGCAATTGGGCCACCCAGGCGCCCCTTTCTCATCTCTTTTAAGTCTTTGCTGAAAGACTTTGCTCTCAGTGTGGCCTACTTTGTGACCAACCTGTATCTCCATTTAATACTGCTTCCTGCCCTTCCCACCACTTTTTAAAAATTTTTTATTGTTATGTTAATCACCATACATCATTAGTTTTTGATGTAGTGTTCCACCATCACTTCTTAGACCTTTAGATCCCCATTTACCCTGCTCTACTTTTTATTTTTCTCTAGTACTTATCCTCTAATATTCTGTACATTTATTGTGCTTATTATTTTCTTTATTACCATCTCTAGAATGTAAGTTGCATGAGAGGAGGAACCTTTATCTGTTTGGTTCACTGTATAGTCTAAGTTCCTAGCATGCAATAGGTGCTTAGTTAATATTTGTGGAATGAAAGAGTGTATTTCATGCAACCTCAGAAAAATTAAAATTTGTTACAGTTTTCCTTCAGACTGAAATGTTTCCTTCCTCTTATGAAATTTCATGTTGGTATAATATGATTAAATGTTTAATAAATGGAATAGTAAAAGACATATATTAAGTACTATGCCAGACAATTTATATATGTAACCTTATTTAATGAATAGACTGGGCCTTATACATAACACATGAATATTGTCCCCTTCAAAATGGACCCCTTTGGAAAGCTGTTGTCTAGTGATGCTGCCATGGCACAAAATAGCTGTAGAATCCACTTTTATAAATGGCTTATTGGCTTGGTAAAGTCGTCTTTTGAATATCCTCCTGGTGGGTAACCAAAGCATTATGCTTGGGAGTAGATTTAATTTTTGGATTTAAACAAAGCCATTTAGACCTAAAGTTAAATGATCAAGTTAAGTAAAAGCTTTTTTTTTTTTTAGTAAAATCATGAAACCCATTTTCTTGGTTTGTAAACTTGCTTGGAGAAATCTTTCAACCGAAGAGTTACAGTGAGCTGAATATTTTAGAAGGTGTTCTTATTACTTAATTTCCTGATGAATGTTGAAATAGCATCTCCTTCATCTTCTCTATTGCCTAAGTTCTTACTGATTTTAGAATGCCAAGAACTTTTGTAGTGTTAGTAAGCAGAATTGGAACATACCAGAGATTCACATGTGTTCTGGTTAGTCAGGAAAGTTGGTGCTACATATATTCTTTAGACTGCTGTGTTGAACTATCATTGTCATACTTGATTGAACCTTAAGTTATTGTACTAAATATTCAAATAATATTTTATCTACTTAGAATTCATCCTGACTGTTAGGAGGCTATTTTATATTTTACTATAGAGTTAATTTTTAAAATTTAACTAATTTTGAAAGGTATACTACATTTTTAAATATTATTCTGTTAGGCCCACAGGTCAAAACTTTTAATGTGCTATTCGTTTTTATTATTATGAGAATCAGTGAGGAAATAAGGTAAACTGAATGGTAATTTGCTCTATTGGCACCTTCTCAAGAATGTACTGATTCTTTATGTAGGATACTTGCCATAAGATTTTTCCAGGGTTTAGGGGCGCCTGGGTGGCTCAGATGGTTAAGCGTCTGCCTTTGGCTCAGGTCATGATCCCAGAGTCCTGGGATTGAGCCCCACATCGGGCTCCCTGCTCAGTGGGAGGCCTAATTCTCTCTCTCGCTGTGTCTCTCTATGTCAAATAAATAAAAAATCCTTAAAAAAAGAAAAAAATTTTCCAGGGTTTACTTATATTTCTATTAAGCTTATTTTTTGCTTTTTAGAATGGCTTTCAATAAAATTATATTTGCAAAAGTGATTTTTGCAGTGAGTACAAATTTCATTTATAAACGTGTCATAAATTACACTCTCCTTTTAATTTAGGAAGTGGAAAAGTATAGAACTGAATATAATAAGCTTCGCTATGAACATACATTTCTCAAATCAGAATTTGAACACCAGAAAGAAGAATTTGCACGTATTTTAGAAGAAGAAAAAATAAAATATGAATCAGAGGTGAGTGATTATACTAGTTGAGTCATTATCCTTCTAGTCTGTAAAATTTTATGATTTTTTGTAAATTCCAAGTTAGAGTTGATTGCATAATTAAGTTTCATTCATTAATGGTAAAGTATTTGGCATGATATTCATCTGTTCTACAGTAACATTGTTTTTTGTGAACATTCTTTTTGGCTGTTAGCTTTTCCTCTTTTGTTCCTCCTTTATTTTGCCCTAGTCAATGGAGATAGTCTCTTTTCTTTCATAGAGAGACAGACTTCTTTCTACAAATACAGTTTTTTATATGACTTTTTTTATGTAGAACTTTCCCCCTCTACTTTTTGGAACCAAACCACGTCCAGGAGAGCTCTGGCTATCAGCCCATGTACCTTGTTTCTACTGACAGAAATAAGGGGTTTATACTTTAGGGTGTGCCCATCACATTCAAGAAGTGTACCTTGTTCTTTCTGACATCTACAATTGCAGAATTTTCTCTCTGCTGCCTGCAGCATGTTCTCCTACTCTGTTTCTACTGCTTAGACAGCCTTTCTACTCATTTTATGTTTCATCTCCTAATTTTGCCAAAAATGAAATTTGTGTTTATCATTCTTTATGGACTTATATGTGATTTTTCAGGATAAAAAGAAATATCAGTTTTGTCCTGCTATATTCAAGTAAGAAATCTAACACTAGTGGAATTTGTAAACAACAACAACAAAAAACTTGGTATCTGTAGTTATGTGAAATATTCTTTGTACAAACACATCTGCATTATGTATTTATTGCATCATCCTTATTTGAAATTAAGAATTAGAATACACTCACCTTCCTTTATCAATTACTAATTGGATCAAACTGATCTATTCTTTTTATTATTTTTTAACTTTAAATTCAGTTGGCCAACATATAGAATATTATTAGTTTCAGATGTAGAGTTTAGTAATTCATCAGTTGTATATAACACTTAGTGCTCATCACATCACATGCCCTCCTTAATGCCCATCACCTAATTACCCTATCCCCCCACTCCCCTCCCCTCCAGCAACCCTCAATTTCTTCCCTATAGGTAAGAGTCTTTCATGGTTTGTCTCCCTCTCTGATTTCTTCCCATTCCGTTTTTCTCTCCCTTCCCCTATGATCCTCTGTGCTGTTTCTTATATTCCTCATATGAGTGAAACCATATGATAATTGTCTTTCTCTGGTTGACTTATTTCACTCAGCATAGTACCCTCCAGTTCCATCCACTTTGGTGTAAATGGTAAGATTTCATCCTTTCTGATGGCTGAGTAATAATTTCATTGTATATTATCCATTCATCTGTTGGTGGACATCTCCACTCTTTCCATAGTTTGGCTATTATGGACATTGGTGCTATAAACATTGGGGTGCACGTACCCCTTCGGATCACTACATTTGTATCTTCGGGGTAAATACCCAGTAGTGCAATTGCTGGGTCATAGAGTAGCTCTATTTTCAACTTTTTGAGGAACCTCCATACTGTTTTCCAGAGTGGCTGTACCAGCCTGCATTCCCACCAACAGTGTAGGAGGGTTCCCCTTTCTCCACATCCACGCCAACATCTGTCATTTCCTGACTTGTTCATTTTAGCCATTCTGACAGGTATCAGATGGTATCTCATTGTAATTTTGGTTTGTATTTCCCTGATGCTGAGTGACGTTGAGCATTTTTTCATGTGTCTGTTGGCCATCTGTATGTCTTCTTTGGAGAAATGTCTGTTCATGTCTTCTGCTCATTTCTTGACTGGATTATTTGTTTTTTGGGTGTTGAGTTGGATAAGTTCTTTATAGATCTTGGATACTAGCCCTTTATCTCATATGTCATTTGCAAATATCTTCTCCCATTCTGTAGGTTGCCTTTTAGTTTTGTTGACTGTTTCCTTTGCTGTGCAAAAGCTTTTTGTCTTGGGCGCCTGGGTGGCTCAGATGATGATCTCAGGGTCCTGGGATCGAGTCCCGCATCGGGCTCCCTGCTCCTTGGGAGCCTGCTTCTCCCTCTGCCTCTCTCTCTCTGTCTCTGTCTCTCATGAATAAATAAATAAAATCTTTAAAAAAAAAAAAAAAAAAGCTTTTTGTCTTGATGAAGTCCCAATAGTTCATTTTTGCCCTTGCTTCCCATGCCTATGGAGATGTGTCTAACAAGAAGTTGCTGCAGCCAAGGTCGAAGAGCTTGCTGCCTGTGTTCTCCTCTAGGATTTTGATGGATTCCTGTCTCACGTTTAGGTCTTTCATCCATTCTGAGTCTATTTTTGTATATGGTGTAAGAAAATGGTCCAGTTTCATTCTTCTGCATGTGGCTGTCCAATTTTCCCAACACCATTTGTTGAAGAGACTGTCTTTTTTCCATTGGATATTCTTTCCTGCTTTGTTGAAGATTAATTGACCATAGAGTGGAGGGTCCATTTCTGGATTCTCTATTCTGTTCCATTGATCTATGTGTCTGTTTTTGTGCCAGTACCATACTGTCTTGCTGATGACAGCTTTGTAATAGAGTTTGAAGTCCGGCATTGTGATGCCACCAGCTTTGCTTTTCTTTTTCAACATTCCTCTGGCTGTTTGGGGTCTTTTCTGGTTCCATACAAATTTTAGGAGTATTTGTTCCATCTCTGTGAAATATGTCGTTGGTATTTTGATAGGGATTGCATTCAGTGTGTAGATTGCTCTGGGTAGCATCGATTTTTAACAATATTTATGTTTAATTACTGAGCAGACTGCTTCATGATTGATAAGTAAGAAGCTAGATGAACATTGGAACATTTGAGTCCATTGGTAATACAGTACTAGAAAACTATAAATATTTATAATAGCCTTTTTTATTAAAAACTTCTTTACAGCTCTATTCACATATGATGTCTTGTTATAATAGTCACTGCAGTGAAGCACACTGTATTATTTTATCCGTTTTAAAATGAGGACACTTGAAGCATAAGGTAAGCACCTTGCCCAGAGTCTCACAAAAAGTCAGCAGCCAAGTTTACCATAGAACTCAGGTGCCCCAACTACCAGCCCAAAGTTTTTAGTTTGGTGTGGCAATTTCAAATCATTGGTAATTTCTTTTTTTTTTTTTTTAAAGATTTTATTTATTTATTTGAAAGAGAGAGAGAGAGAGAGAGAGCACATGAGAGCGGGGAGGGTCAGAGGGAGAAGCAGACTCCCCGCTGAGCAGGGAGCCCGATGCGGGACTCGATCCCGGGACTCCAGGATCATGACCTGAGCCGAAGGCAGTCGTTTAACCAACTGAGCCACCCAGGCGCCCCAATCATTGGTAATTTCATTTAGGAGCCATCCAAAAACCAATTTTGTTCAAGAGATCTGTCAGTTTAAACTAATGATGATGAAAGGTTTTGAATCTGTAATCATGACAGACTTAAAGGAATTACATTTAAAAATTTTCTTGTGGAAAATAGGAATGATAAAGATTTCCAGCCTAAAAATTGGTTTAGTGTATTAAAGAGTAACCAACCACTGAGGTTAAGGATACTGGTGCTTTAGTTTATATTTTGCATTTAAAACCTAATGATGTTTATCTGGTAATGATTATTTGTGTTCTCTAGTTTCTTAGTTTTATTGTTTTTCTAAAGAATGAAACTTGCATCTGAAATCTGATGACTAATCTATTTTTCACCCATGAGAGGCCAAATAATATTTATAAAAATTTTTAAGGGGTTACTGGCATCATTAGTTTTCCTAATTTAAATGTCTTATGCAGAAATCTGAAGATAAACAGGTAGCTAAGAAGCCATAATTTGTAGAGACTAGAAAAATAAAACTTTCTGATAAGACCAAAGTTCTTTTCTTTCTACTTCCTGACTGAGTATGCAGGAACAGTATTAATTAGTGGATAATCGGTAATTGTTCTTTCATTCCATCAGTTATCTTAGTGATATGATTGTGGATCATGAAACAGCATTGAAACTTCAAAGAAAAGCCTACTCTTGCCATCTGCCAATTTTACAATTTAAACTGGTATAAAATATTTTAGTTTGTACTAAAAATAATTGACTTTTCTTGCATTAAGGATTCACACAATACTTGTGCATTTTCACTTTTTTTTTTTTAAGACTTTATTTATTAGACAGAGAAACACAGAGAGGGAACACAAGCAGGGGGAGTGGGAGAGGGAGAAGCAGGCTTCCCGCTGAGCAGGGAGCCCGATGCAGGGCTCCATCCCAGGACCCTGGGATCATGACTTGAGCTGAAGGCAGACGCTTAACGACTGAGCCACCCAGGTGCCCCGCATTTTCACTTCTACAGATAAAAGAAGTAACTGAATATTCTTTACTGTGTTCTTAGGTGAATACTTCAGGAAGATTTTGTTAGTGTTTTCATGAGAAGCACTCTAGTGATTCACATTTTCCTCATGATACTCTGAATTAAAAGGAATATATGAAAGTAGATGTCTTTATAAGTAAGATAATGTCATGGTTTCTCAATGCATTCAGCTATAAGAACATATTAAGTCTGGGACTTCATACAGATGAAATTCTGAAGTTGTATATATAAGCATTATTCAAAGTGGTACTGTTGTGTTTTACTATGTTATTTGGTGTCTAATTTTATATTCTGCAAATAGTAATGAACAATACAAAGAGTTATAGGTATAGGTGATTATACTGGTCAACTGAATGAGTGCAAGAAGCAGGAGTAATTCAGTGGGGAAGTATGTAGATTTTGAGAGAGGGGCAGTGAGTACTGAATCATATGAAAAACTTTAGAATGACAATATTATAATGACAAGTGCCTGAGATTATTCCGTCTGGCTTTCCAAACTGAGCTGTACCTTGGTTTTTTTGTTTGTTTGTTTTGTTGTTGTTGTTTTTAAGATTTCATTTATTTGAGAGAGAGAGAGAGAACGAGTGGAGGGAGGGGTAGAGGGAGAAGCAGACTCCCCGACTCCCCATGGAGCAGGGAGCCCAACTCGGGATTCGATCCCAGGACTCTGGGATTCGATCCCAGGACTCTGGGATTCGATCCCAGGATTCTGGGATCATGACCTGAGCC